TCTGCGCAAAGACGCCAATCTTTCAGCACCCTGCGCTGATCACTCCGCAGCCGCACAAGACGACAATGCCACAGCCTCGCATAGCACGTCTTCGGACTCATCCGAGTCTGAAAATCACATGCCCGAAGCACATAAGCACAGGTTCTTATTGCATAGCCTCGAGGAAGACCCCTTTAGCTGTGATCGCTTCTGCTATGAAGCACTGCCTTCCACTAATAAGCTGGACGATGACCGCTATGCATCTTGGCATAGCCTCGTATGGTCGGGAGCGTTAGGCGCAACTGCACTCTTGTTTCCAGCACAGACATTCGACTTTGATTCTCATGTCAGAATTTGCTCGTTGCTCCGCGCGGCACATCTGCAAGGCAGCCAGGTTTTCTCAGGAATGCACATCGCATTTGCAATCCCCCATTAAGCCGGCAGCACTGCAAAAATTTCTGCCGAGCTGCTTTTTGCCTCGACGGCCCGCGGTCTGCGACGGGGCCGGCATGTACAGCTCCGCAGATCATTCCGCCAATAATGTCAGCACTAAACCCAAGCCCCTTGCCAAACTAGCTGAAGCCTTTAAGCACTATCTCAATAAGCACAGCCTTGTTTCGCACATTTCAAAACACCTTAAGTCAGGGACAGACTCGCACCCGCTGAGCGAGGAGCATCGCACCGCCCTAGCAAACATATTGCATGAGACGATGGCGCCTAGCACAGACCGGAACCAGTTCCTTAAAGTTTCCGAAGGACAGCCTTTTCGACTGACAGCCTTGCAGTACCTCGCACAGGCCATGCAAGACAAAGACGCACAGCTTCCTCTCATCCTTGATGAGGGGGTGCCTACAGGCGCTTTCGGGGCCTTGCCCAGCAGTGGACAGTGGCCACCGACGCAGAGCTCCTTGGACTTTACCGAAGACTTCAGCCCCGCCTCGCTGGAGCACTGCAGAGGCAACTGGTTCCTAGCCGAGAGCAACCCCGCTCTGCTCAAAGAACTAGTTGAAGAAGAAGTACGCAAAGGCTTCGTAGCAAAATTCGAAGGCACAGAAGAAGACGCAAAACGCCAGTGGCCGCAAGGCACCGCAATAGGCAAGCTAAACATTGTCATGGCAGAAGGGCGAGACCCCCGCCTCGTCCTAGATAGCACTATATGTGGCCTTAATCCAGCAGTGCACCTGCCCGAAAGAGTGTCGCTGCCCAATGCATCGGATGTACAACGCACCTTCTTGCATGACGACTGCTACGCACAGCTACACGCATTGTCACTGGATTTTAAAGCAGCGCACAAATGCTGCAAGGTTCATCCCGCTGACCAAGGCACCTTGTTATTTAGAGTAGGCAAGGACCTTTACTATTATAAGGTATGCCATTTTGGGGCACGTTTTTCGGCCTATTGGCAACGCACAGGCAGCTTACTGCTGCGTTGCATTCACGCATTGCTATGCGATTTTCCACATCGAGCATGGCTATATGTGGATGACCTTCTTGCACTGCTCCGCGCAACGGATAAAGACCTGGCAGCGGCACTTGTGGTTGCACTGCTCGCTGCACTAAACGCACCGATTAGTTGGAAAAAAGCACAGTTCTCGCAAGAAGTCACATGGTGCGGATGGACTATACGCACTGACGCGGAAACCATTGAGCTCCGCGAGCTCAAGCTTCAAAAGCTCCGCGAGCAGCTCGCCGCCCTGCAACAGCGCAGCAAAGTCCAACGCAAAGAACTAGAGGGGGTATTAGGCCTTCTTAACTGGGCTACGTCCCTAAGTAAGCACATGCGGCCTTTCATGGCCCCGCTTTACAAAGACTTGCACAGCTGTAAAGGCACCTTGCACAGCATTTCGCCAGGCATGTGGGGTAGTTTCTTAGACAGCCTTGACAAAAACGCAAGACTCACTCGCACCCCGGCAGGTACTTGGCTGCCTCGCAATGCACAGCTTCTTGAAGTTGGCAGCCTTAAAATATCTTGCAAAGCGGACGTACCAATAGTTCCGCCATCGCACAAGCACCAATGGCTACGCCTCGCTGATCCGCATCGCTCTGAGGTGCACTTACGCCATGAAAGTAAGTTTGTGCTGTCTTGGCTCCAGCACTGCTTCTCGCATGAACAGCCTCGCTCTCTACGCACAGCGCCACGCATGCATTGCTACAGCGCTGCAGATGCTTTTGCAGACACGCACCGCATGGGCATCGGAGGGTGGATCAGCACGTCTGATTCCTTCCTTTGGTTTAGCGGCATTTTCTCAGCCGAGGAGGTGCGAAAGCAATGGCCGCAACTGCAGGGCAGCCTGCAGCCTTATATAGGCTGCTTCGAGTCCCTCGCTCAGCTCGCTTTAGCACAGTGCTCCTGGCAATTACTGCGCAGCAAACAAATACGCTTTGTGCTGCCCACCGCCTCGGACAATACGAGCGCAGAGTCAGGCCTCAATAAGCTCTTTAGCACTGCAGAGCCGCTAGGAACCTTCCTACGCCTCGCAGCAACCTGGGCGCATTTGCACCGCGTGCAATTCGAGGTCGAACACCTCGCAGGTGAGAAAAACGTCTGGGCGGACAAGCTCAGCAGGGGCTCTACAGCCTTTCTTCAGCATCGCAGCGCAGATAAAGTTGAGATAACTCTCGCACAACTTGCGTCGGCATCGCATTGCGTAACGCTACATGATCACTCCTTCAAGTGGCCGCAACCGCTACTTGACGCACAGCACGCCATGCTCAAATGAAGGGAAAAAAGGAGCGCTTCTCTGCTTTCACTCTTACTTGGTAGCCGCGCTGCCTAGCTTTCTTTTTCAGCCCTGCCTCGCCAGGTACATCCGCGATCTCGCGCGGTGAGGGGCATTTTACAGCAGAGATTAAGGATGCACCTGAAGTGGGGGACAGCTCGGCATCGCATGCCTTCTTTCTCCTACGGCGAGCAATGCCTCGCAACGCATCGCATCCTTTAGCAATCTCTGCGGTAAAAAGATGATTGCAGCCAGTACGCTCTGCCCTGCAATCCGTTTCTGCATTCGAAGTAGAATAGAGAACGCTAGTTGTGAGTTTGTTTTTTGTATCAACTGTGTTTTATATTCTTGTGTCGAATGTAACCGCTGCTTTGCATTGTTTCGGCACAAGCTACTCACAACTAGTTCGTTCATGCTCAGCATCGCATGCTTCAAGCTTTTTTCACCCACCCTCCACGCCCTGGGGGACAGCTCGGCATCGCATGCCTTCTTTCTCCTACGGCGAGCAATGCCTCGCAACGCATCGCATCCTTTAGCAATCTCTGCGGTAAAAAGATGATTGCAGCCAGTACGCTCTGCCCTGCAATCCGTTTCTGCATTCGAAGTAGAATAGAGAACGGGTGGGTCTGTCGTGGTGAGGGCCACAGGTTGGGAGGGGCCTGTTAGAGCTTGGGGCCTCAAGATCCCGGGCAAGGGTTGGCGTCCGGGTTTGTTCCTTGTTCCGGTTTATGCCCCGTTGGTATCGAAAACCACTGTGGAGCAACGGGAAGTCTTTCGGGACCAGCTAGCCAAAAATATTTCTCATTCCTCTTCCAGAACGCGCCTGGTCGTTGGGGGGGATTTCAACGGGGAAGTTGGTGCTCTCAAGGACGATGCGTGGAGACACGTCATGGGGCCGTATGGGGATGTTCGTCGCACGAAGGGTGGTGAAGAGCTGTTGCATTTCTGTGAGCAGGAGAGTTTGGTCGTCGCTGGTACCTTCACACAACAACGGGATAAGGCGACATGGTTCCACTGTCGATTCGGTACCGCGCACACACTAGATCACTTTCTAGTTGACAGGAGGGATCGCAAGTGGGTTGCCTCGGTTCTAACGGTACACCATGTCAGCAGGCACTTGAGTGGTTCTCGGGGCAGGCAAGGGCGGCCAAAGTTTTCTTCCGCCCCATGGCTAGAACACACGGACCACGAGCCTATGGAAATGCTGCTTAGGATCCGTAAGGACTGGGTGGCTGAAGCTCAGGCGAGGGAACGAGAGGAGTCGAGGCCGGATGTTGTGCGTTTTTTGGGGAAATCGGATGAAGCCCTTAGGCTGAGGGAGGAGTATGCTAAGCAAATCTCAGAGGAATTGTGTTTGGTGTCGGGGAGCAAACTTGATTGGGACGTGCTGGCCGACGTCATGAAAAAGACTGCTTTGCGCGTGGTTGGGAAAGCAAAGCCGCGCTTTGTTGATAGGCCTTGGTTGCGAGGGAAGGAAAGGGAATTAGAGGAATTGGAATGCCGGGTTCATGTTTTGGAGGAGCGCTTGCGGAATGCTCGTTGTTTAGGATCTTCTGATGTCGACACACTGTTACGTGACAGGAGGGTAGCCAGCCAAAATCTGCGAAAGGCCAAGCGACGGTGGGAAGCTTGTTGGTGGGATGATTTGGCGGCGCAGGCGAACCAAGCGGGTGTGGAGAAGGACGATGCTTCTTTTTGGCGAATTTGTAAAATGTTGGGGTTCCGGGAGGGAAATCGGGCGTCGTTGGGAGTACGGCGCTCGGTGGCGGATGCGCAAGCGTCAAGGGAAGAATGGAGGTCTTTTTTGTCGGGTATTCAGTCAGGGCGAGGGGCGGTCGCCGATGCTGTTTGGGAGTTCATTCCAGAAGCGGACCAACTGCATGATTGTTTGGCCCTCCCCCCTTCCCTTGAGGAGTTCAAGCAGGCTCTTAAAAAGTTGCAGTTTGGTAAAAGAGGTGGGTGTGATGACATTACGGCCGAACTTATTCGTTACGCAGGCGAGGACTTGAGAAATGCGACGTTTGAAGTTGTACGGGACATGTGGTCTGAGGCGGCGGCTGCTCCAGAGGGAGCTGAGGCGGATTCTTGGTGTGATTCGTCCAAAACAGGCATCTGCATTCCGATGTTCAAAAACATCGTAGCCGTCTGGATATGAACAATTACAGGAATCTTGTCATGCTTTCTGTATCTGCCAAACTGGTAGCCAGGATTTGCGCCAGCCGTTTAGCAACATGGGCGGAGGAGTGGTTGCCTGAACAACAGAATGGGTTTCGGGTGGGAAGGGGTATTGATGACGTTCAAATGGTGGTTCGGAGGCTCATCGAGGAAATTGCTGTGGCGGCTAACGAGGGGACCTACGGTATGACGTGTTTTGATATTGTGCATGCTTACACCAGAGTGTGTCGTGATGCGTTGTGGTCTCTCCTCTCCCGACTGGGTGTGCCGGCTTCCTTTGTCCAGGTGTTGAAAGCGTTGCATGAGCATACCCGTTTCAAGGTCTTCGTTCACAACGGGTACTCGTCGGAGTGGTTGACGGATCGAGGCCTGCGTGAAGGATGTCCCTCGTCTCCCATCCTGTTTTCCATTTTTCACCACGCTGTCTTGCTCACTTTTCGTTGTCGCCGAAAGCGTGAGGCGGAGCCGAGCAATCTGCAACCGGGTATCCGTGGAAGTTTAAGGTGGATGGTCACCTCACCCGCCCGGATCGAGCGCGTCACTCGTCTAGGGGCATTCGGGAAATCGTCATTGGAGATGTGGAGTTCGCGGATGACACTGCTCTCTTCGGTGAGGTGGAGGAATTGCATCAGGCGGAGCAAATCTTCATCCAGACGTTACGGGATTGGGAGCAACAGGAACATCCGGACAAAAGGGAAAACTTGTTCTTACCCCGCGAGGTAGACGTCCCATGGATGTTCTCAACATCTTCGAAAAACGCTTGCTGAAGCATTTGGGAGCCACTCACACCGATAATGCGGATCAGTGGGCTGAAACTACGAAAAAACTTCAGGCGGGTTTCTATGCGGTTAAGCGGATTGCAAAGTATTGGTCATTGGGCTCGGCACATGGCAGAGGGCGTCGGTCGGGGTTGTCTACTAGCCGCAAGCTCAAGATCATGCGTTGTGTCGTGGAGGGCACGTTGTTGTCGTGTTCTAAAACCAGAGTGTGGAGTTTGGTCCAAGAACGGAAGGCCAACCAGGTCATTTCGAGAGGTATTAGGCGCTGTCTAGGGTTAGACCGCATCATTATGCGCCAGTACGGGTATGCGGACGATCGACTTCGGAACATGGTGCAATGGAATTCCTTCTCTGAGTTGGTGCACAAACAGGTCCTGAACTGGGTTGGTCATGTTGCTCGTATGTCCACGGACAGGTTGCCGAAAATCGCGCTGTTTGGGTGGCCAGCGGGTTTGGAAGAACATCACTCCGGTAGGTTTACTTACCCTCGTTGGGTGGAGTGGGTGCTGGAAAAGCACAACATCTCGGTCATGGATTGGTTCAGGCTGGCGCAAAAACCTACGACGAAGTGGCTTAAACTGGTCCATTAAGCCCTGCCCCGTAAGCATTTGAGCGTTTCCCGGTCGTACAAGGTCAATGCGTGGAAGCCAGGGGATCCTATTCTGGATTGGAAAGCTCCCACCCCCTGTGTTCCGAATGGGCCCGGTCCGTCAGAGGATTCGTTTCCATGTCCGGTTTGCTCACATATTCGGCGCGAGGGTTGCAGGTGCATTATGAAGGAGCTCATGCTATTCAGAATCCCGATCTCACCACTGTGGCAGTTGACTCATGTCCTGATTGTGGTCAGGTATTCGTGTTTAGTCGCGATCGGCAGAGACATCGCTGTCCCACCAAACCTCACACCCTGGAGGCAGTGGCTCTCCTCTTGCCGGCCCCCCTTCCTCCTTCCCTCCGTGGTTGATGTCTCGAGGTGGGTGTTGTTCACTGATGGGGCAGGTCCGTCGGGGGATGAAGCGGTTCATGCCGGCTGGGGGGTCGCTGTATGGGAGTCTTCTTCATCTGCTTCCACCCCTTCTTTTGCTCTCTTTGGTCCGGTATGTCTGTCCAATTGGGAGTCGCGGTGGGTGGGCGCCGAGGTGGCCACGAACAATGTTGGGGAGCTCGCCGCTATGATCGAAGCCTTACTTTGGTTGGAAGCGGAGGCGCCGGGTCCGGCTGAAGTACCGGCTACCATTTTTTATGACTTCTTCCTATGCGTATGGTGCAATCACGGGAGCCCATGCTGTTGGAGCAAATGACAAACTTGTCGCGAAGGCGCAGGCCACGCTGGCTAGGGTTCGGGCTAAACGGCCGGTTGATTTTCAACATTTCAAGGGTCACTCGGGGAATTTGGGAAACGATACTGCAGATCGTCTTGCAGCACGTGGGGCGAGTGGTGAGCAAACGATTCAATCCAAACGTTGGAGTCTTCCATTGACCGCCCCTCCTCCGTTGGATCCTCTGCTTGTTGATCACTGTTGGCGGTGCCAAAGGGTGTTCACGGGACCATCGTATGCGCGTCAGCTGGCGGGGCATGAGGCCAATTGTGCTGTCCCTGGAGTCCCCCCTTCACACATCCCCTGTCGTCATGGGTGTGGTAAACAGTTTCCTTGGAAGTTTACGGAGGGCGCTAAACGAGTGGTTCATCATGCGCGGGAAGCTCGTGCGATTCATGAAAAGATTTGCCGGGGTTCTGTTGAGCTCACGCGAGTGTGTCCGTACTGTGATCTGCAATTTCCAGAAAGCATCTCGGATGAGTACCTTGTCAATCATCGTAAAACATGCAGCCACAGACCAAAGGATGCGCCATCCTTGTCCAAACTGTGGGAGGAAATTTCAATCGTTTGGAACTTTTGTTTGTACATGTTTCTATTGATTTTGAGTGTTGACTTCTATTGATTTTAATCATGGTCTTTCTATTGATTTTATGGAAAATTTCTATTGATTTCATGGAAAATTTCTATTGATTTTATGGAGATTTTCTATTGATTTTGAGGTGGATGTTTCTATTGATTTCAATCACCAGCTTCAAGCTGAAACGACGGCCCAGGCGGCCCCAATTTGCTAACCAAATAATGTATACATAGAGATGAGAGAGAGAGAGAGAGAGAGAGAGAGAGAGAGAGAGAGAGAGAGAGAGAGAGAGAGAGAGAGAGAGAGAGAGAGAGAGAGAGAGAGAGAGAGAGAGAGAGAGAGAGAGAGAGAGAGAGAGACAGAGAGAGAGAGAGAGAGAGAGAGAGAGAGAGAGAGAGAGAGAGAGAGCAGAGAGAGAGAGAGAGAGAGAGAGAGAGAGAGAGAGAGAGAGAGAGAGAGAGAGAGAGAGAGAGAGAGACAGAGAGAGAGAGATACAGAGGAGACGGAGGAGACAGACAGAAGAGATGGGATGTGGGCCGGACGGCCCCACGAAGGGAGAAGGCGGGGGAATCATTTTTGGCAGGTTCGTGCATGGCAGCCGTCTTGAAACCAAAGCTTCCAGGGGCCGGACGGCCCTAAGAAGGAAGAAGGGGGGGAATCATGCTTCAAATCTCGTGCATGGCAGCCGTCTTCAAGCCAAGCTGCCAGGAACTTTGGGCTAGGTCAAGATGCAGGGCGATGATGAAATTGTCGTCCAGGCCTATGCCAAGCTGCTTCACGCCAAGGTTCCAGGCAAAGTCGCGAGGTCCTTGGTCGTGATGTGGCGGAGAGGTTACCTAGACCAGCTGGAGATTCTTGGCATGATACACATATATATATATATACTTATACATATGCCGTACTTATATAGACTATGTATTTAATTTTTTACTTATATAGAGCTAAGGGATGTCGACAAGGAAGTGGGCTTCCTGAACTTTTTGGAGTACCTCATGTACAAGATCGAGAATGATATGGACATCGACCCCGAGCGCTGGCCGGAGGCGACGAAGCACATGAAGATGAAGGAGCACGGGTACATCCGGTTGTTGCTCAACGATGCTTCATTGATCGCTCTCCACCTCGCCATGCCAGGCCTTGAGCCGAATGACGAAGCCTCAACTACTTTCGGAAGCAGTGCGGGTGGGGGCCGTACACCAGTCCTGGAGCGACCAGGAGTTGCGGGCGAGGATCAGGGGCACGTCGACGCTACATTTTTTTGAAATTGAGCCGCCCGTGCGCCAGGTCCCAGGATCTGACCAGTGCCAGGCGGCTGGGAGGTGAGCTCCAGGACAAGCCTCAAGTTTTGAGAACATAGGAAAGTTCAAGGGGTCGCGTTTTTGTTAGAAGCGGCTTAATTCAAGTGCTAATCCAGGGCAGGCTACTGCCAGGGTATAATTCAAGCCGAGATCGATCAAGCCCTGCTTGACGTGCAAAATTGACTTGGCGAGAAGAGGACCTGAGCTGAAGTTTTTTTTCATAGTACGCTGAATGCTTCAGGCAGGCCTAGCCAGGTCCTGGGCTTCAAGCTCCAGGCAGGTCTGTCGGGTTTAAGTGCTGCAGGCCGCCAGGCAAGTCCTCTTCTTAGAGCCATGGGCAGCCCCGCAGCTGCTGGCCGAGGCGGCGAACGCAACTTCGCCAAGCCGGAGGTGGACCAGGAGCACTTGCTGGACGTGTTCAAGAAACACGTCAAGCTCCTAGGTGTCCAGGCCGCCTTCAACTTCGACCCCTACGGCAACCTAGCCAAGACGAGTGCTGTCCAGGCCAAAGGGCTTTCAAAGGCGACGGTTTTGCTCAAGAAACTCCAGGAGGTGGAGAGCGGCTTGGCTTTCAAGTACAAGGACTTGAAGGAGTGCTTGGCCAAGGTCAGCAAAGACTACCCGGACCTCATCCACCAGGCCCCGCTGAGCAAGCAAACTGCTTGGGCTGGGGACACGGCCGAGATGCTGCTGACCGTCATGGCTCATGCTCGCCGCTTGTGCAACGACACCAGGTTCAAGGAGGCTTGCAGCAAGGCGACCCAGTTCGAGATCAAGGATCTCGAGGAACTCAGGGCGCTGCTTCTTCCAGAAGTGTCGGCCTCACCAGCCAAGCTCCAGCAGGCGGAGACCCACAACACCAAGCGGCCGAGCACAGGGACGCCAAGCCCTGCGACCAAGCCGCCAAAGCTACGGTCGTTAGCCCCTGCGAGCAGTCCGCTTCGAAAGATTCGGACCAGGGATCTGGAGCTTCCAGACACTCCCAAGACCGCCAAGACGAGTTTGAGCCAGGAAGCCGAAGGCAGTCCCGTGCCAGGCAGCAAGGCTCGAATCAGGAAGTCTTGGGAGGGCGAGGTTTTGAAGAAGCCAGCTGCAGCCGCTAAGCCTGTGAAAAAGGACAGTGACAAGCCGAAGAAGAAGCCGGCCTCTAATCTTAACATTAGAAAAATATTTTTGTTGTTCGTAAGCATATATTTCTATCTAGGAAGATGTATTTAAGTGAAGCCCTGAATGTTTTCTCCATCATCAGGCCCCCAAGGACAAGGACAAGCCCGAGTTGACGGAGGCTGAAAGGGGCAAGCTGCAGATCATGCACTACCACGACAGTGTCGCATTGAGAGTCGACGGTTCTAGGCAGCTTTTCCAGATCGTGTGCAGGAAGCATGGTCGGGATAAGACCAAGCTTCAGGTTGCCAAGATGAAGAAGAAGCTCGCCGAGGGCGGCTCTTTGGCAGAGGCCTTCAAGGAGAAGGCTAAGTTTTTGGAGTCCTAGTTTCAAGTCTTTTAGTGTTCCAAGCCAGGGCTGGAAGCCCGGTGGCCTCGACTGCATAAGCCAGTATGCATGAGTGAAAAACACATCGCCCCTCCAGCTGCATGAGCCTGCAAGTAAAGTTTCAAGGGCTGGACAGCCCTTTTCGGCGGCAAATGCTCCCAAGCGAGATCGATCTTCGGCCGCTGCAGCTCCCAAGCTCAAGAAGCAGCTTTAGGAGTTACTTAGTCAGGCAGCCAAGGAGCTGCCAAGTCAAGCCGGTCCAAGCCATGGCCGGCCAGCAGCCTCGAGGGCGGCCAGGAGGACCC